CCGGGACGCGAACCGCGGTCGACTACGTGGGAGTCCAGCGACATAGCCATTACGCTAACTGCTGGTTCCCTAGGCATAGAGTCTTCAGTGAGCTATTTTGGGATAATTTCCAGATGCCAATTGTAGTAATTGACAGTGTATGAGTTGTGCACGCACCTCCTTGGCTTGTCTTTTTTCTTTCATTTTTCTTTATTTAATTGCCAGGAAGTGTGTCTGCTTGCCAGAGAGATGGGGAGAGGGAGAAAGTACCAACCAATGGGATGTGGTCATGCCATAATCCCTTCTCCTCCATTTCTCTATCCTGTCAGGATTTGAGGCACATATGCGTATGCACCCAGCATGCTTTTCAAGCTGCTAGGGGACTGGGATTTGAACCATGCAGTTGGCCATATGGTCTAGTTCACTTAACCACTAGGCTTCAAGCCCTGCCCTGGCTTGCTACTTTTCAGTCTTAATGACCTGATTCTGGTTGAGAAAATTTTTGTTTCTTTTTTTGGGTGGTTGTTTTGGTTTTAATGTTTATTTATCTCTTTCATGAAAGAGAGAGACAGGCAAACAGATACGCTCAATAGGATCTCACACCATGATCCCTCTAGCCTTCCCAACCAGCCAGGATCTTAAGTGCATGCACCTGGAGTGTTAAGGTCAACCTGGGAACTTCAAAATGGTTCCCGTATGGCTTGAGCATCATGTTAACACTAACTCATCAAGCCAACCCCAGATCTTTGCTATGTATGACTGATTTGGTGAACCAAATCTTGGACATACCTTTTTCCTTCTTTTTTGGGATTTTCGGCTCCTCTTATGGTGGTATTAGGTGCCAAGATGTTCTGGAAGCAGCTTGAAAGTCACACCGGGTGTGTGTGTGTGTGCATGCCCGAAATCCCAGGAGAAGAGATTGCATTGTGTCCATGCCCCCTGAGGGGATGATTTCTCACTTTCCCTCTCATTGTCTTTCCAGTGAGTGCATGTGTCCCGTGAGAATAAAAAAAAATTGTCTTCAAAGTCTCATCCCAGACAGTGTTAGAAGTAAAAAGACTCAGTATTATTAATATTGTTATCTTTCTAGAACTTTTTAGTGACTTCTTGAACCAAATTTTATGTTTCCCAGAAGATTATGAACAACTAAAAGAAGTGTCATATGGAAGGTTGTCAATCTCCTTGCTAGGACTGGAGTGCAAATCTCTTGATCTTACTTATTATTGTCATTTGTTTCCCTTTTCTTTTTTTTTTTTTCTTTCTTTCTGTTTTTGTTTTTGTTTCTGTCGTAGGGCACAGACGCTTGCCAGAGAGACAGAGAGGGAAAGTAAGAAAGTGCTCCCCCAGGGAAGATGGCCATGCCACAATCCCTTCTCCTCCATTCTCCTCTCAAGATTTTGGGCTCAAGATTTTTGGCCAAAATGCCCATGGACCCCATTTTTTTTTTTTTTTTTTTTTAGAATTATTTTATTTATTGTCATTATTTTATCTTTTTGAAGTTGACTAGAGAGAGACAAGAGAGAAGGAAAGTGAGAAAGCAAGCTGCCAGGTCCAGGACTCAAACCATGGTCAGCCACATAGGAGTCCAGTTGCCTTAACCACCACACCACCTGCCGGCCCCCACCCAGTGTGTTTTTCAAGCCACTGGGTGCGAGACTCAAACTGTAAAGTTGGCTGTGCTTGATACAATCCCTTAACCACCATACCACTGACTGGCCTGCCCTTTTCTTTTTTTTATTGAAGTATGATTATACATAGTGAAATACATGAAAATTTAAGTATATAGTTGTATCATTTTTAAGAAATATATAGAACTATATAATCTACATCTCAAATCAAGATGTAGAACATTTCTATCCTCTCAGAAATTCCCGTTATGCATTTTTTTTCTGATCAATCCTTCTTCCCACCAAGGGACAACCACTATTTTCATTTCTGTCCTTATAGATTAGTTTCATCTGACTTTCATTGTTTTTAAAACTTGTAATTCATTTCCTTGCAGAAAGATAACATAAAATTTAGAATAAAGTTCTCTTTTGATTCTGCTTTGATCTCTTGTTAAAAGCTACATGTAGGATTATTCATCTAAACTTGCCTCCTACCTCCGGTAGAGTCATTCTTTAATGTTGTAGGCATGCAGCTCTCCTGAGAAATATACATATTGTTGATACTGGAATATCTAAGGTGAAATGCCTGTGTGTCAGTGTACAGAGGCGTTCGTTTTTATTTTTTCCAACTGCTCTGGATGAAAGAGTCTATATAAATACAAAGTCTTTAGAACCAGCAGAGAGAACCTGAAGGAAATGGAACCATATGAATTATCACCCTTTGCATATAGCTACACTCATTTGCTAACAGTTGGTATTATGTGATAGTGCTTGTGAATGATGATGTATTATATGAAAGTGCATAGAGCAGTGAGAGATTTCATAGATTTATAAAGAAAAATATCTTTTGTCACAGGAATAGAGAATAAATGTGAAGAACAGCCAAGAAGTGTTTTAAATAATTTCTTTTTAGATTGGGAGAATCATTTTAGTGTTTATTCCCTCAGGGGGGAAAAAAAGCTCTTCAATAAACATAGATATCTTTGGAAAATCAGGAGTTTATTAAAATGTTTTTGTATTGAATTTCATGCATTTTGTTCTCTAGTCTTTGCTGCCTTGAAAAGTACAGTTAAAATGAAACAATTTAACTTAAAGTGAAACTTATATAATCAATAAAGCATTTCCTGGAAGTCTTATAATGTCAAAGAAAATTTTAGGTGAAAGTAAGGGGTCTCATAATTTTGTTTAAGTATCAAGGATAAGGCTGAAGAGCCATCATGTCTCCTCCCTATCTTGGGATAAGACAGGACCTAGACTGTCCTAGACAAATACAAAATTCCGATAATTTACAGAAAAGTGTGTAACCTGATTTGGGACAATGTCACCCTTGACAATGTGCATGTCCTTATATAAAAATCCTACTGGGCTACATGAGATAGAATCAGGGCAGTTTTGCTACAAGACAGGGCTAATAACATGGAAATAGAAGGAAGAGCTGGCAAAGAAGACTCACAGAGCTACTGGTTCCTAGGGCAGAGGACAGCCGAAGCAGGCGTTCTGTGCAGTTCAGAAGTTCTCCATTTGCTCTGCTCCCATTTCTGCTGGGCTTTCATATCCTTACTATCTGAGGGTTCTTGAGCAAATTAAAATCGTGAATATATTGCTTCTCTTTTTCCTTCACAAAAATCTTTGAATGAGTAAGAAGTATACAGATATTAATTTCCAGTGAAAAGGAAAGTGGTTCTTTTGGTTGAGAAATGGAGTCAAATGCATACATCTTAAATGCACAGATCAATAAGTTTTGAAACATGTACACAACTGAGTAGTCAAAATGAAAATCAAGATGTCGAGTATTTTTATCAGAAAGCTCCTTTGTTTCTCTTTGCAGTCAAATCCCTGGCCAGAGGCAATTACTATTCTGATTTGTGTCACCATAGAGTCACTTTGTCTGTTCTTAAACAAGAGTTTTAAGTCTTTGAGAAAAGCGAGTTTGTGAAAACATCACAGAAGTGTAGTTTAGTGTATTAAATAATGTTTAGAATGAAAAGCTTTCTGATACTTGCTTGTCTGTTTTTTTAAGATATATATGCTCATAGGTGATTATATTTTTAGGATAGTTGAAATAAAAAAAAATCATGGAGTAGTCTATATAAAATATATCTTTATGGGAACCAGCAGTTAGCGTAATGGCTATGTCGCTGGACTCCCACGTAGTTGACCGCGGTTCGTGTCCCGGACCCGGTGGCTTAAAACTCACACTGGGCGCGTGTGCGTGCGTGCCCAAGATCCCGAGAGGAGAATGGAGGAGAAGGGATTGCGGCGTGACCATCCCCCCTGGGGGGTGATTTCTCGCTTTCTGGCTCTATGTCTCTCTCTGTCTGTCTGGTGAGCGCACGCGCCCTACAGTGAAAGTCTCTCCAAAAAAAAAATATATATATATATCTTTATGTCAATTGGTAGTTTGCATCCCAGAAGTGATTATTCATAACCTGTAACTGTTACTGACATTTCTTCCTTTTGCAGACACTAGAGTACATGAAGCCTTTACGTCCCTATGAGTCCTTGGATACCCGGAAACAGTTCCTTGAATATGATGGGAAGGTTTTGCGTTTCTTCTGCCTGTGGGATGACTCAGGCTCACTGTTTGGGGACCGTAGAGATCTTGTCCTGCATTACTTTTTGGCCGATGGTACTATTGAAATCAAAGAACTGATGCCACAGAACTCGGGCCGGGATGCTATGGCATTGTTTCTTCGGAGGAGTAAGCTGCCCAAGGTGAGCACTGGACACAGAACCGCTTTCTCTGGGCTTATCGGCCCAGAGAGTAGAGTCAGATTTTGAATGCTGTGTGTTTTGACTAAGTGATGGCCGTTAGCATATAGGTGGGCTCTTCAACAAGTTCATGGAAAATGTGTATTATGAAAAAAAACTATGCATGGACTTCAGATCTGTTTTGGTACCCAAATAAGCCCTTACTTTAATTCCATTTTTCCTGGCAATTTTGTACTATTGGAAGTATTTAGAAAACTTTCATTTTGTACCCTTTGTTAATATGTATCTATGAAAGTAATACAGAGAATATGACAAATTGGAGTTGGAATATTCTAGACTCAAGGTACGTAAAGAAAAAAAGTCAAATATAAGAGAAATACGTATTCATCACTGAGTTCACAGCCAGTCTTGAGAAAGTAAATGACTCTCTAGTAAAAGTATTACTCATGGCCTGGGATAGGGCACTCATGTGTGGCCCCAGCAAGCCTACTGAGGAAGGCCCACGGCGTTGGCCTGAATTGTGAATAGTACACACAGACACATGCGTGCATGAACACATATACACAAGTATATGCACAGGAGTGACTCTTCTGTATAGGGGTTAGTCACCAACTATCCAGTGATTAGTGGCAATAATGCCCTTTACATTTTATTTACTATTAAAAACAGTTGTTGGACTGATTTCTACAAATATTTGTGGCCACTTGAGAGCTAATGTAACTGGGTGCAACAGAAAGACACAGAAATTAGAATTGTGTCTGCTGTGTGACCTTGGGCAAATCACTTAACCTCTCTGAGCTTATCTCCCCACCTCCCAAGTGCAATTAATGCTTCTGTCCTGAGGTAATTGTAAGGATTGAATGTGATAATATAGTAAAAAATACTAAGGACCTATAAACCTCTCTAAGGACTCATAAAAGCAGTTCTTTTTTCTTTTCCATAGTTCTGTTATATTTTCTATCTTATTTGGATGAATTGTTTTTTTAAATTAATTCTTAGTGCTCCTGAAAATGTTACAGTAATATTAATTTCTGATGCAAATACCACTGGCCATTCAATCCTCACAGGAGGCTCTACCAGATTCTCTGTGCCCACTGCCAGAAGCCCTGCTGTGTTGCTTGGAGTCAAGGGGAAGCAGAATTTGTCCCAGAGGGAGCTCTGGGATATGCACAGCAGGTGGCCAAGAGGTGCCAAGGAAACCTGTTTTTAGAATAGCTTTGGAAAATAGGCTAAATATAAAATAATAATGACACATCTGACATTTGCAGTGTGCCTTGACATCCATTGCTTCATTTTATTAACTTGTCCAACAAATATTTGTTGAATGCCAACTGTGTGCCAGCTCTAGGGTTACAGCGAGAAAGAAGATAGATTAAGTCCTGCTTCACGAAGCTTAGGTTTCATAGGGAGAGATACAACAAGGGTGGGTGTTTCCTTGACACTTACAACATCTTTTGAGGAAACAAGGAATAAGTAATGTCACTGCAGTTCAACAGATGAAGACTCCGAGATTCTCAGAAGATAAATATTAATATTTGGCCCCAGGTCTTAGAGCTAGTACGTGGTGAAGAGAGTCTGTGTCCAAATGTACAGGCCTTCTACATTATGTGGCTTACTAATACCACAGGCATCATAAATTCACATATTTAATTTCCATTTTATGTCACCTGCATCAGGGATGATTCAGATTTCTCAGCTATGTGTGATACACCTATCACTGTCAATTCATATAAGTTAATTAAGTTATTTTCAGTAGCTCATGCAACCATTTGGACCACCCCACTGCAGGCCGAACTAAGCAGGGCCCTGGCTTGGCCCTAGGCCACCGTTTCTGTTGGGGGCTGACTCAGACTATTGCTGTTTCTACCTTATCTCACTGCCTCTGTCAGCCAGCAAGTACTTACTGAGCTCAGGATCAGGAAGGGTGCTAAGTGGAGTCAAGAAAAAAAGGCAGAAAGGCATGATTTCTTCCTCAGAGGTTTGTAACTTAGCGAAGAGAAAAGTGACTGCTAATGAGTCAGTCAGAGAACCACAGAAAGCTGTTGAACCCTATGATAGGTGCTATTGAGTTTTAAGTAGGGAAAATAGGAGACTGAACAGTCCTCAGTATGTCTGGTGGCTTAGTGGAGAATCCAGTGGCTACATGTAGGCTAGGGGGGCAGTAGGAAAGATCGACTTTATTAGGGCCTTGGAGGATGTGTGGGAAGACCGCAGGGGATATGGCAGTATGGGGAGAGGGAGGCGGATATATGTCTTCTTCTAGATGACAGAGAAGAACCATACAATGCATATTGCCTACACGAGCCCCTTGACCACACCAACTTTGTATTTGGAGGCCATCTACCATACCCTGTGTGTGTGTGTGTGTGTGTGTATTGTGTGTGTGTGTGTGTGTATGTGTGTGTGTGTGTGTGTGTGTTTAAGTGTATTTATTTACATTTTCCATAAAGGAGAGCCAGTGAAACAGAGAGAAAGGGAGACAGACAGACAGACAGATGGGCACTCTCAACAGGGTTTTAATGCTATGATCTACCCCTAGCTTCAGCTAGAAATGGTCACAGGCCTGTGTTTTTGCCTGACATACACAAGGAGGCCTTGGGACATGAACTCAGATCCTTCCCATGTGGGTCTAATTGTTTTCCTGCTGCACCACTATCTGGCCCCTATTTTTTGCTTGTTTGTTTTTAGTCAGGGACTCACATGTCACAAACTCTCTGCCTAAGTCTCCAGAGTTGCAGGGACTAATATAGGCAGGTGCCATCAGTCCTGTTTCCTTTTTTTTTAAAGTTATTTTATTTATTATTATTGTTATTTTATTTTTAAGAGAGAGATTTTTGCTATAGGGCATGTGTGCTCACCAGAGAAACAGAGAGACAGAAAGTGAGAAATTACCCCCCAGGGGGATGGCCACACCACACTCCCTTTTCCATTCTCCTCTTGGAATTTTAGGAACACATGTACATGTGCCCCATGTGAATTTCAAGTCACTGGGTCCAGGACTCGAACCACAGGACTACGTTGGAGTCCAACAACGTAACCATTACGTCATCTGCTGGTCCCTATTATTGTTATTTTTAATTTACCAGAGTGAGAGAGAGAGTGGGAAACAAGCCGCTAGGTTTAGGACTTGAACCGTGGTCAGCCATGTCGGAATCCAGCACCTCAACCACCATGCTGGCCCCCTGGCTCTTTTCTTAGACAAGATCTGTCCATGCTGCTCAGGCCTGTCTCAAGCTCATGATGCTCCCATCTCAGCCTCTCCAAGTAACTGGGACTACAAGCACCTGTCACTATATCCAGACTTCAGGTTGGACTGGGAGTAGAACCCAGGCCTCCCATGTGGCCTCAGCCTGTAGAGTAACAGCATCTTACCAGCATGTGCCAGCATAGCTGGTTGTACCATACCTTGTTTTTATTTTGTCTTCTAGCATGGCCCACCTGGCATCTTTCAACCAGGTGAGATAACTGAGCAAGCAGTTCTCAATGTGTACGGTGGCTTGTCTCTGACTCGCATGCCAGGCTACCTGTTGGACAGATATGAGGTGAGGAACCTCACATTTTATTACTGTTTCCAATGTGATTTCCCAGAACCTAAATAATGGGGCAAGTTACATATTGTTTTCTTGTGAGATTGTGAATGAAATGGATAAATGCATAAATATGTGCATAGTACTGCTATTTATCAATAATAAACACGTTTAAGTGCATATGTAAATATATGTATTGCATTACTATTTGAAAGCAGTATGGTGCTGAAATATTAACATTGGCTAGTTGTCTTCTGATTTGATTTAAAAATTTAATTATACATAATATAAATGACATTTTTCTTTTTCTATTTCTTTCTTTCTTTTTTTTTTTTTTCTTCTGGGAAATGGTGCCTGATTCTTTGGGAGGTCTATGGTGCCAGTGCTATGTTCTTTTGTTTTCATTAGCTAGGAAAAGTAGACCAAGAGTTTTACACAGATGCTGACCTGACCATAGGAGCCACCATCAATGTGTGGGGAAGGAAAGTTCTCCTTTGTGACTGTGATGAATTTACGAAGTGTTATTATAGATCTAATTATGGAATTGGTAAGTGACTCATGTGTCCATTAGAAAATGTTTAAAGCTTTGTCTCTGTTTCCTAAATAAGATTTTACTTTTGAGTTTCAAATGCTAAGTTTGTAATAGCTACCATTTATTATATATCTGCTACCCTCCAGGAATTTATTATTTTACATATTCCTAACATCAGTTCTCTATGGGTAGGTTCATAACCCCATTTGAAAGGTAAAGAAACCAAGCCTTAAAAGGGACTCGTTTGGGCCAGCCCATGGCCTGGTGTTTAAAGTGGCTGGATCCCACATGGCTGGCTGCACAGTTTTGAGTCCCAGACCCAGTGGCTTGAGAAACACACAGGGTGCATGTGCTTACATGCCTGAAATCCTGAAAGGAGGCAGAGATGGAGGAGAAGGAATTGCAGTGTGACTATTCCCCATGGCGAATGGCTTTCTCACTTCCCCTTTCTCTCTCTCTCTCTCTGGTGAGCACACACACCCTCTGACAAATTAAAAAATAATTAATTAATTTTTTAAAAGGGGGAAGGACTCTTGCCCAAGATCATACACCAAGCAAAGGGTCAGCCAAGAATTGAACTTGTCTGCCTGATGCCAGGGGCTTTCATTTTCTCTCATAGGCCTCTGCCTCACTACAGTATCAGGTAAATGTTTTGGTTGAGCAATTGAAATGGAAATCTAAATGCTTTTTTCCTAATATTCTTGCTTAGCACAATGGATATGTTTGCATTCTCTCATGCCTATTTACTCTACCTTTCCTGATGAGGCTTAACTAAGTTTCCAGCTTCTCTCTATTTAGATGTCAAGTCTTTTTCCACCAGGTTAGTTCAGCTCAGAATGAAAACTCATGATTTATTAAGCACCTACTATATGTAGGTCATTGCAATAGACTTGAAGATACAGAGATTTATAAGAGGTTTCTAAGCTGGAAGAGGAGCATGTTACATAAGTCTTGGAAGCAGGTGGAGGCTATGATGTGAAACCTAAAACACAAACCCCCATTTGTTAAACTCCTACTTACTATAGTCTCCTAAGGACCTGTCAGCCAGCTCTGCCCCCTTCCTGGGCTCTCCACCCCGGTGAGAGCTCTCTACTCCAAGTGTCTGCTGCTGCTGGAGTTGATAGGAGTTCCTGACAATCTCAGGTTGGTGTGGAGCTGGAGTTGGAGCTGGAGTGGGGATGAGGGGGGTGCTTAGTCCTGTATTTCTCTTTGAACCTGAGAGTATTCAAATAAACACACTTCCCTGAGGGGCAAGATGGAGACCAAAACAGCAACAGCTCCTTAAAAGACAAGATGCTTTGTCTCTAGAATGAGCTGAGGCCCACCTTACATGTCTTGGTGTCCCTATTGTGTAGTCTTTCTAGCTTCCTGGGAATCTTTATATTGTGAGAGAAAGCACACAAAGGGGTTGGAATAGAAAGACTTTCCATTTCACTCTCAGATTCATGAAGAGAATCTGTTCTGCAGCACCTGTATACCAGATTGGTCAAAAGATATGGGCCCTATAGGGGCCAAATTGGTAGCCTCTTACTTTATTTTCTAAAATCAGTCCCTTGTACTGGACATTGTTGGGCAGATTTGCTTTGAGGACTGTGGACAAGAGACAGCTGGCAAGTTGCAGGTGGCAGCTGGCTGTAGAAAAGATGCAAGATCCCTTAGATCACTAGGAGGAGACTTTGGCCTTTATTAAATGTAGACGCCTGTTTAGAATCAATACGTCTTCAGTGTAAATGGGAAATTTGAAGAAAAAAATATATACATATATGATGGGTCCCTGAAAACTCTAGCTTGCAGCTCACAATTGCCTTAATTTAAAGGATGTAGGGAAGGTTCTAAACATTATCTGACTACTTAAACATGCAATCCAACATTTGGCTGATGGCTTCCTGTCAGGTTGGCTTTCAGAAAGGTTGCATTTCAGAAATGAAATAAATGTTATGCTGGAGAAATTTGGTACATGGTTAGTGTTTGAGTGGCTTCTACAGGGAATTTTTCTGAGGCAGTGTGAATTCCCTGGGGTACTCCACAGCTGGCCATCTTTGGTAAATGTATCAGCTTCAAATGCCTATTGTCCATTTCAACTGATTCCTGGTGCTTAATTTCTTTCTATTCATTTTTTTTTAAAGAAAACCTTTTGCTATGGGGCTTGTACACTCGCCAGAGACACAGAGAGAGACAGAGAGACAGAAAACAAGAAATCACCCTCCCAGCGTGGATGGCCACACTGTAGTCCCTTCTCCTCCATTCTTTTGGGATCTGGGGCACGCATGCACACATGCCCAGCATGAGTTTGAAGCCTCTGGGTCTGGGATTCAAACACTGTCAGCTATGTGGGAGTCCAGCAACATAATCATTATACCATCTGCTGGTCCTTTTACGCACTTTTTTTGTTCACTCTATAAACTCATTGTATTATGCCTTTATTTATGTATTTATTTATTTATTATATATTGTGATTTTCAAGCTGCTGGGTCTGGGACTCAAACTACAATGGGTCATGTGGAAATCCAGTATCCTAACTACCACACCACTTGCTGGCCCCTGTATTATGCTTTTTAAAAAAGTAGTTTGTGCCTTTAAAGCAAGTATGGCATGAAAATTATGCAAATGCAAAATTATGTTGCATTTCATTGTCACATTGACTTTTTATATCTTTAAAAACATATGTTAAAATATCTGCTTAACAGACACTATTATTACAGAACATATCTTGAGTTAAAACAGTGTACTTAATGTAAATAATGACTAGAAATTTTATCTATGATGGGGCAGCTGGGGGGGGAGCAAATCAGTATTCTCTGATAATCTTTGCATTTCCTTTTCCTGATTTTTTTGGTCAAGGCTAAATTAATATACTTAATGTTACTTAGATACAATAATTTCTGACATTTAAAATTTTGTTGGTAATTCATGTAGTCTTAAAAATTAGTAAGACTGTCCAAATTTTATACATTATGTTTTGGTATCCATGAAGCCTAAATCAGGACAAAGTCCCATCAATAATGGTGGTCTATCAGTAACATTGATAGAAGATTTCCTTCCTTTTCAATAATTGTGGTCAATAGGGTACCTGGATGTTTCTACTCTAGCACACAGGAAGGAGCTGACTGGTGGCAACAGCACAGGTAGAGACCCTCCCTAGCAGGAAGCCAGAGGGCAATTTCTAATCTGGTATGTGCAGCCTTGGAGCTTTACTACCTTCTCTTACCTAATAATACCCCAGCGTTTTTGGAGGGAGAAAAATGGCAGACAGACTAAAAGAAGCTAACCACAGTCCCCAGAAACATAGGTGGATAATTTTTCTGTAGGGGGCTTCAAAAAGTTTGTGGAAAATGGAATTAGAGTAGTTTATTTTGGTACAAACAATTTTGATATCCATGCATAACTTTTTCATAACACACATTTTCCGTGAACTTGTTGATGGACTCCTCATTGATGCAGGTGCGTAGGGCTTGATAAAATTCCAAGAGGCATTCAAACCCTCGAGTAAAACCCAATCTGAGTCTTAAGAGAATGAAATTCTTTTGTGCATTTAAGGATTCTGAGGGGAATCTATTCTGTAGATTTTTTTTCCACCTAATAGTCCCATGATAGCCCCTCCATTTGGAAGCTGAGCCATCCTGCTGGTCCTGGCTTACTTACTGGACTGTCACATGTCACTCCCTCATCTTTTTATGTGGATGAACTGGAACTGGCAGATGAAGGTCGGTCTGTCTTTCTATAGCATGAAACTTGGAAAAGGCTCCAGGGGCTCTAGCAGCTGTTTCTTTCACTAAAGGGACAGAAATTTGAATGTAAACTGTCCCTACTTGGGAATTTCTGCCTTGGGTTATTGTCTTTGTCTATAAGAAGACTTTTTTTTAATCATTGATTATTAGTGGCTGGGACAACCAAACTAGTAACAATACCATTCATTAGCATTACTTTTAAACACTTATTAGGCTGTACTGAGATTAAGGTTGAGCAGAAATCTTAAAGCACTTTTAATTTTGTGGTCATTTCTGGCTAGTTCTGGACTTTTGGTGATAGAAGTAGTAGGCTATCCAAGATGAAAGTTTAATGATCATTTGAGTAAGTTGCCACATACATACACTCCAAGTTTCAGCCCCCAACATGATTTTCCTGACAACCCAATAAAAATAGCCTCTGGCCTTTTTTTTTTTTTTTTAATTTTACTTACTTATTTATTTATTTAACCAGCAGGACTGGGGGGGGAAGGGAAAAAGCAAATTGCCAGGTCTGGGACTGAACCATGATGGGCCATGTGGGAGTCCAGTGCAGTCCCTAAACTTTTTTCTAGAGTGATTTTTGCACTCACTGGAGAGACAGAGAGAGAGAGAGACAAAGAGACACAAAGTGAGAAATCATCCCCTGGGGGGGATGCCCACACCACAATCCCTTCTCCTCCAGTCTCCTCTTAGGATTTTGAGCACACACGCACATGTGCGTGGCATGAATTTTAAGCTTCCGGGTTTGGAACTTGAACTGTAGTTGACTACATGGGAATTCAGTGACATAGCCATTATGCCATCTGCTGGTCTCAACCACATGTGTTGATGGACCTAACAATTTTGTTTCATTTACCTTCTTTATAAAATAAAGGTGGTTGAGAATTCCTAAGGATTTTATAGTTCTAACATTATATAATTCACTAATTGCTTGACCCTGAAGTGAATATTTCACCCAAATCATTTGACCTGGGTATTAAATACAAGCAGAGATGGATTAACCTTCAAGTTAATAAAGCTCACTCTTTAGGGTACTTCCTTTCTAGGGTCCCAGTCTAAGACACTGGTCTAATTTTTTCTTTTTTTTTATAAATAATTTCATATGTTATTATATTTTTTTAATTTGACCAAAGAGAGAGAGAAGAAAGTAGTAAAGCAAGCTGCCAGGTTCGGGACTCAAACTGTGGTCGACCATGTGGGGAGTTCAGCACCTTAACCAGCATGCCACCTGCCAGCCTCCTAACTTTTTCCTAATAATTTGGTATTCTTTGTCTTGAAAAGCTTTTCCCAAATTATTTGGTTGTCACAAAATTCACGATGTATTTTTTTTCTGTTTTTCTACTTAAAAATGCATTATGACTTTCCCGACAACCCAATACATAAACTTTTAGACTTTCTGTAGCCTGGGTCCATCTCTGGGTTACTAGAACATGAGTGGAGCTTTGAGCTACTAGTAGTGCTTTCAACTGAGATAGTGACTAGAAAATCAGCATAGAAGAGCATTAAGACTCCTTTTTAAGATAAATGAACTCTACAAGTTTGTTGGAACCTGGTCAGTCATGGCTGGGCATTCAATATATAGTTTTTACAAGTCACTTAGGACTAGAGAAGTCAGACCATTTTAAAGACAGATGTGTCTTGGGATCTAGTAGAGCACCAGTTTAAGACATCATAGAAGATGTTTTATACAAAAATGTATATTTTTTTGATTTATTCAACAACTATGTTTGAATACCTGAAACCTACAGGATGCTGGGATGATGAAATACCCAAGGCAAGAAATTTGTCATTCAAGTGTGAGTCCATGGCTTTGCAAATGTGTATGAATTATCCGGAGAAATGCAATTGCATCTTGAGCCAGGGTTTTCCAAAAAAACAACAACAACAAAAAACAACTTTTATGTCAGGCATGATGGAGTAGAACAGTTCTTAGCTTTTATACACTAGATGGCACTGTGGGTGCAGAGGAAAGCTCCAAATTGGTTCTTTTGTTACTTAAATCTGTTGCAAAAATTATGTAGTTAAGAAAACAACACTGTGTTATAAAACCTGTAATTTGGGGAGGCGGTGTAGAATGCATTCTTAATTACTTTGCGAATCAATTTGTGAGTTATTTTGGTGAGGCTGCTCAGGTTAGTATGTAGAGTTGTATGTATATATGTCCCTTGTTGTAAGAAACGGCTCAGGCCTCAATTTTCGAATAATCACATAGGGCGCTTTTGTCATCACTATGGCGCCTTCCCTGGAATGAAGGTACCAAACTGTGATGTGATCAATATCATGGTTAGCAATGATGGAGTCTACTGCAATTCTGCCTAATTATGAGATCTGAATTGTCTTTATTATCAAGATTATTCTTCAGTAGCCACAAAAAATAGCAACAGGAGAGGCTCACTCATCACTTTGGTACAGGCAGAGGGGCAGTTCCCTTTCACTGAGCCAGTGAGAAATATTTAATGGCATTTTCTTTGTCAACATGTCTGCTGTGAGCATTTTCTGTTAGGATGGAACAATACTCTTTTGGGATTATGCGTGGGGAAATTTCACACAAAGGCTGCTAGGAAATCTAAGGACGTGTGAAAACTGAAAATGTTTTCAAATCAGAATTTGAAATGTCCTCGAATCCTTAGTCTTTTGATCAATCAGTTAAAACAAATAAATGAAAAGACCCAGTACCTCACTTTTAAGAATTAGATTGTCTTTGGTAATGGAAAAGGAAATCTGCTTATGTGGAACTGTTTTATTATTATTATTATTCACAAATGAAAACACCTATGGCATACTCAAACTTGGAGAAGTAGAAAGTGGATTTTATGGGGTTTTTGTTTTGTTTTGTTTTAGGAAAGATTCTGTCGTCTTCTTTTGCCATTTGTGGTGAAGCAAACACAGTGACTTAGATCGATCAGGTCAATATGTTATTTGCTCTGGAGAGCACAGTTGCTTCTCAGAGTTTGCACAGCCTCACAAATGAGTATCAGAAAGCTCCCAGACTATTAGAGACATGTCCCCAGCACTCTTTCTACCTCTTCTTCTTCACAGATAATAAGTCAGGAAATAAGATTAACAGTATTTACCACTCAGCACTCTCTTTGAGAAAGTAGGCAGATGGCTATTTAAAAAGTTTTTTGTTTTTGTTTTGTTTTTTGTTTTTGCTTCATCACATTTTAGTACAATTGCAGTCTTTTCTTGGCCAGTAACAAGAGCAACTTGTAGCAGTGGTTGGTGAGAAGAAAGAAGTTTTGTTTTTGTGTTGTTTTCAAACTAGATAGTAAAGTGTCATGGCCCAGAGTTGAGTTGGAGGCAAGGAAAGGGGCCAGGAAAGTGGGCACAGAGGGAGGAAACAGCAGATAGGGAAGGGTAAAGGTGAAATAGTCAGGAGGCAGTCCTGTTTGGAAAAGAATTTTATTAGTCAATGTTGACTGAAGATAGGAGAGGGCTAAATTACAGGGTAAAATATGGAATGGGTGGCATAGAGTTTCAAGTTTGAATTTTCATATCATTGGAAAAATCAGGGAAGAACAAAAAATATTCAGAAATGGGGATGGGATGATAAAAGAGATATGTTTTCTTATTTGACATAGATTCTTTTTCTTTTCCCTTTTGAACCAATGGTGATTATTAAGTGAGTTCTGTGGTTTTTGTAAACATGATTGAAACCTACTCTCATAGGATTTTGCTGTTTTTTGTTTGAAAGAGTTTAAAATAGTCTACAAAGATCTCCATGTTCATCTTGAAAACATAACAACCCTTTCAAAACAGCCATAATCAGGGCAGCGGTGTAGAATGCATTCTTAATTACTTTGCGAATCAATTTGTGAGTTATTTTGGTGAGGCTGCTCAGGTTAGTATGTAGAGTTGTATGTATATATGTCCCTTGTTGTAAGAAACGGCTCAGGCCCCAATTTTCGAATAATCACATAGGGCGCTTTTGTCATCACTATGGCGCCTTCCCTGGAATGAAGGTACCAAACTGTGATGTGATCAATATCATGGTTAGCAATGATGGAGTCTACTGCAATTCTGCCTAATTATGAGATCTGAATTGTCTTTATTATCAAGATTTTTCTTCAGTAGCCACAAAAAATAGCAACAGGAGAGGCTCACTCATCACTTTGGTACAGGCAGAGGGGCAGTTCCCTTTCACTGAGCCAGTGAGAAATATTTAATGGCATTTTCTTTGTCAACATGTCTGCTGTGAGCATTTTCTGTTAGGATGGAACAATACTCTTTTGGGATTATGCGTGGGGAAATTTCACACAAAGGCTGCTAGGAAATCTAAGGACGTGTGAAAACTGAAAATGTTTTCAAATCAGAATTTGAAATGTCCTCGAATCCTTAGTCTTTTGATCAATCAGTTAAAACAAATAAATGAAAAGACCCAGTACCTCACTTTTAAGAATTAGATTGTCTTTGGTAATGGAAAAGGAAATCTGCTTATGTGGAACTGTTTTATTATTATTATTATTCACAAATGAAAACACCTATGGCATACTCAAACTTGGAGAAGTAGAAAGTGGATTTTATGGGGTTTTTGTTTTGTTTTGTTTTAGGAAAGATTCTGTCGTCTTCTTTTGCCATTTGTGGTGAAGCAAACACAGTGACTTAGATCGATCAGGTCAATATGTTATTTGCTCTGGAGAGCACAGTTGCTTCTCAGAGTTTGCACAGCCTCACAAATGAGTATCAGAAAGCTCCCAGACTATTAGAGACATGTCCCCAGCACTCTTTCTACCTCTTCTTCTTCACAGATAATAAGTCAGGAAATAAGATTAACAGTATTTACCACTCAGCACTCTCTTTGAGAAAGTAGGCAGATGGCTATTTAAAAAGTTTTTTGTTTTTGTTTTGTTTTTTGTTTTTGCTTCATCACATTTTAGTACAATTGCAGTCTTTTCTTGGCCAGTAACAAGAGCAACTTGTAGCAGTGGTTGGTGAGAAGAAAGAAGTTTTGTTTTTGTGTTGTTTTCAAACTAGATAGTAAAGTGTCATGGCCCAGAGTTGAGTTGGAGGCAAGGAAAGGGGCCAGGAAAGTGGGCACAGAGGGAGGAAACAGCAGATAGGGAAGGGTAAAGGTGAAAGAGGCAGGAGGCAGTCCTGTTTGGAAAAGAATTTTATTAGTCAATGTTGACTGAAGTTAGGAGAGGGCTAAATTACAGGGTAAAATATGGAATGGGTGGCATAGAGTTTCAAGTTTGAATTTTCATATCATTGGAAAAATCAGGGAAGAACAAAAAATATTCAGAAATGGGGATGTGATGATAAAAGAGAAATGTTTACTTATTTGACATAGATTCTTTTTCTTTTCCCTTTTGAACCAATGGTGATTATTAAGTGAGTTCTGTGGTTTTTGTAAACATGATTGAAACCTACTCTCATAGGATTTTGCTGTGTTTTGTTTGAAAGAGTTTAAAATAGTCTACAAAGATCTCCATGTTCATCTTGAAAACATAACAAACCTTGCAAAACAGCCATAATCAGGGCAAAAAAAAAAATATTGATGTTGTGTTTGCCTTTGTTTTGTTATAGAGAACTTTACCTCAATTCCATGCAAGGCTCCTACTCCTCCAAAAATAGAAAGGAAATTTCCACCTTATAATGGCTTCGGATCTGAAGAAGATTCTCTCCGTACCTGCATAGGCCTCCGGCCCACACCTCATAAGAAAGACTTCAAGAAGTTTATGGAATTAGACAGGTGCTTGAGAGAACCATGATTATAGTCTTGTCTTTTCCAAATGTGTTTGGGGCTTATAACCACGGTCCTTATGACACAACAGATGTCACGAAATTCTTCTCATTTCAAGTACAGGAACACGTTATAACTTTTTAATGAAATTGATTAACATACAAGTATTAATAGGTTCTTACTTAAGTGTTTATTTTAATAAGTGTGACCTGAAGGCCCTTAAAGCCATATTACCTGTATTGCTTTTCTCTGTATCTATCATCTATCTATTTATCTTTCTATCATCTATCTATCTATCTATCTATCTATCTATCTATCAATCATCTATCTTATCTAATCTGTTTCCTAAAGGTTGTACCTAGGAAACAATGTAAAGTAGGGGGCCAGCAAGTTTTTTCTTCCAAGGTTAGTTAGTAAATACTGTGGCTTTGTGGGCTATATGATCTCTCTCCCTACTACTCAGATCTGCCATTGTAGCATGAAAGCAGACATAGAACATAAACAAACATGTGACACTGTTCCAATAAAACTTTTTTTTATAAGGCCCAGCAACAGCAGTGCAAGTGGTAGGGCACTACTGTATGATGCTGAAGTCAGACAGGAGACCCCAGATTCTGATCCCAGGTCAACCTGAACACACCAAGTGTCCCCATGGGCACAACCATGATGCAGGCTGGCTAGAAGGTTGGGGAGTGGGGAGGGAGGTGGTGGTGGTGGTGATGGTGTTGGTTGAGACTGCAGTGTGGTGAGATCCTGTCAAGGGTACCTATCTCTTCTATCTTTCTATCCTTCATGGAAAAAAAAAAACTTTAAAAAATTTTATGTACATGGGAACCAGCAGTTAGCGTAATGGCTATGTTGCTGGACTCCCACGTAGTCGACCGTGGTTCGTGTCCCAGACCCGGTGGCTTAAAACTCACACTGGGCGCGTGTGCGTGCGTGCCCAAGATCCCGAGAGGAGAATGGAGGAGAAGGCATTGCAGCATGACCATCCCCCCTGGGGGGTGATTTCTTGCTTTCTATCTCTCTGTCTCTCTCTGTCTGTCTGGAGAGCGCATGCACCCTATAGCGAAAAACCTCTCCAAAAAAAAAATTTTATGTACAGTGGCATGTAATTTTATATAATTTTTACATATCACAAAATATTCTTTTGATTTTTTTCAACAATGTAAAAATGTAATTCTTAGCTCAAAGGCCATAGAAAAACAGGTGGCCAGCTGGATTTGATCCATGTATGCCAGCTCCTGCTATAAAGATTTCAATGATTTATAAGTGCTTTTCAAAATGTTATTTGATAATTAATGTTTTCTATTTTTCATTTGAGAAGTCTGGTTAAATTCAGTAACCATTTATTGCTCACATGGCTGAAAAGAATCTTAAAAGATGGACTTTCCAAATTCCATCTTTATTTCTATTATACAAGAAGAAAATCTGCCTCTGAGTCATGCATATAGAATGTAGCATTGCCTGGGCCAGCCAGCAGCATGGTGCTTAAAACAGATGGATCCCATATGGCCAGCTGTGCAGCTTGAGTCCTGGACCCAGTGACTTGAAAAACAGGCTGGATATGTATGCATGTGTGCCCAAAACTCCAAAAGGGAAATGGAGAAGGGATTGTAGTGTGACCGTCTCCCCTGGGGGATGCTTTCTCACTTTCTCTCTCTCTTTCTCTCCAGCAAGCACATGTGCCCCGTGTCAAAAATTAAGGAAAGAAGAAGGTGAATGTGGGCATTGCCCATGACTATTTGCTTCTGCAGGGTACAGGTCCTAAGGATAGAAATCTGGGAAAAGTGGTAGGGAAATGTTGCAGATGTTAGAATAAGATGCAGGCTAAAAATTGCAGTCCTCTGTGAGGGAAATAATGGCTTGGAAGATCCTGGGGAGAAAAATGATAAAGGGAACACATAGTAAGACTAGGAGGAGAAAAAGGCAACATGCTGAAATTGTTGAAACTGAATAAGGTCAGGTGCTGTGTTGTAGAACGCTTGAAGGAAAGAGAATAATAGTTGTGCTACAGCTGTAGAAATGGTATAAATCTATTACTAAGAATTGTACAAATTTCTAAAAGTTTGCTTTTGCCATGACATGATGTCCTTTGTCTTTCAAGAAATAGTTGTTTTTTTTTTTTTTTAAGGACTTAAGGGTTTTATTTATAAGTTTTAGAATCAATGCTACTCGAAGTGTGGTCCCCATTTGAGGAGGTTTTTAAAAAGTTCATGGAAAATATGTCTTATGAAAAAATATGCATGGATTTCTTTTTTTTTTTTTGCACTAAAATAAACTCCTACATCAATTCCATTTACTATGAACTTTTTGAAGTCCCATGTACTTGTTAGCAATGCTGATTCTTGTGTCTCTCCCAAGACCAACTGTGACAGAAATTCTGGATAAAACCTAGCACCCAGTGTTTTCAGAGCCCTCTGTGAGATTCTGAGGCACACCAGTGCTTGAGAACCACTGGTTTTGATCACACAAGAGGGATGCCAACTTATTCTTCATCCTTATTGATAACAGTGCTTATGGTGAGGTTTCAGGGTAGGAATTTGTATGGTTACTTTTCACTAACTGCTGTTTTTAAAGGCAGCCACCCGAAAGAGGTGGGCAGAAAGAATGTCCCTATTGTAAAAGGAGAGGGAATTTTTCTTATAAGTAAACAAGATGAAATATTATCCAGGGTGTTGCTTCTGGAAACCAGAGGAAAAGAGTTTTTTGTGGGTAGTTGACTTAGTCTCTCTTTTGTCTGCACTGTGTAAAGGTGCCCAGAGAACACTGAATGTAGACGGCATTTTATGATCTTGTCATGCTTTTGTGGCGGGAGGATGGTGGTGTAGGCACAAATGTCTCAAATTTCGTTTCTTTCTGTCCACTGTTCTTTCTGTGCCAGAAATACACTTCCCTCAAGCCCCTCCCACATAGTGACCTTGTTTCCATAGTAACTGGCACATTCAGCTGGAGCCTTATACATGTGTTTGAATAACCCAAGGTTTTAAAACTGTGAGAACCTAAGGAAGATAATCTCATAAAACATACAAAGAATAGTTTCTTAATACAAATAAAGAGGCTGAATTGAAACATGAAACTGTACCTGACAGATACTAACATTATGTATAAGTGAATTTCCAAAATTTTGTGGAAAGTGGACTGAAAGTATGAATTTATTTTGGTGCAAAAAATGTTTGAAATCCATTAATTTTTTTAAAGATTTAACTTCATGTATTTATTTTAATTTGACCAGAGAGGGTCAGAGTGAGAGAGAGAAGGGGAAAGTGAGAAAGCAAGCCGCTAGGTCCCAGAGAGTCAAACCGCGGTTGGCCATGTGGGAGTCCAGCACACTCAACCACCACACCGCCTGCTGGCTCTCATAATTTTTTTTATAATACACATTTTCCATTAACTTTTTGAAGACACCTTGCGTTACCATTAACATTTTTTTATTGGGTGCTATTGCTATCAGCTTAATGCTAATCATCTTCTTTTATTTTGGAGAGGTTTTCGCTATAGGGCGCGTGCACTCGCCAGACAGACAGAGAGAGACATAGAGATAGAAAGCGAGAAATCACCCCCCAGGGGGGATGGTCATGCCACAATCCCTTCTCCTCCATTCTCTTCTCGGGATCCTGGGCATGCACGCACACGCGCCCGGCGTGAGTTTTAAGCCACCGGGTCCAGGACACGAACCGCGGTCGACTACGTGGGAGTCCAGCGACATAGCCATTACGCTAACTGCTGGTTCCCAATGCTAATCTTCTATGAGCAGTTGAAGGAAATAGTTTCAAATTAGATCATGTGAGGTTTTTGATGGGTCTGAAGATCTTTATTGTCTGGGTAAACATCTCTGGGGTGGCCTGCTGGGCAGATGGTCTCATTTGACTTGAAAGAACCATAATAATATCTTTGTTGCTGCACCAGACTGAATTAAGTTCTTCATTTTGTGTGCCAACAATACTCTGCTGCTCACAGCTCTAATAATAATATTTTTATTATTAATAATCATTTAATATTTGCTGAGTGCTAACTGCTTTACAATACTCGATCTCATTTAATTCTCAAGACAATCTTGGAAAGTAAATAATATGATTGCACTTATTCTTCACACAAGAAAACCAAGGCTCAGAGAGGCTATGCAATGGCCAAGCTCACACAGCTAATTTTTAGTTGAACTAGGATTTAAACCCAGAGAAATCTGACTCCTGTAGTGCATCATTCTTGTAGTTATCACAGCTCATGGTAATTATTTATTTATGTAATTTGTGGACTCCCTCCAGACCAATTTTTTTTTTTTTTTTTTTTTTTTTTTGCTATAGGGTGTGTGCGCTTGCCAGAAAGACAGAGAGAAAGCAAGAAATCACTCACCAGGGGGGATGGCCACGCTACAATCCCTTCTCCTCCTTTCCTCTTGGGATCTTGGGCACACACGCACACGTGCCTGGCGTTAGTTTAAGCCACTGGGTCCAGGACTCAACCCATGGTCGACCACATGGGAGTCCAGCGACATAGCCATTACGTTAACGGCTGGTCCCTAGACCAAAAGCTTTTTGAGGGTAGTGACCTGCTTTATTGCTTCCCTTAGAGTTAGAACAGTGCTGACTACGTATGTGGAGCTCAGTAACTATTTTGTCCAATAAGGAAAGGAATGAATGAATAAGGGAGTAAACAGAATAAACATTTACTCATCCAGTTCTTAATGAAAGTAGAAGAGACAGATGATTTCTTATCAGGAAGGTTATTATCCCAGACTAAAAATTTGTAGTTTAATTTTTGTTTTTGTTTTGTTTTGTTTTAAAGGGAACTAACTATTGAGATCAGGCAACAACTCGGATGAAGCTCAAGGAAATTATTTTTAAAGAATTATTTATCTTTAATCTTATTTATTCATTTACTTATTTTATTTTGACCAGAGAGAGACACAAAGAGAGAGAGAAAGAGAGAAAGCAAGTCACCAGGTCCAAGGACTTGAACTAACTATGGTCAACCATGTGGGAATGTCCAGTGCCTTAACCACCATGCCA